CAAACGATCAGGAGCAATGTTTCATGTAAATGGCAAGTAAAATGCAGCTGGACTTCAATCTGCTGGTTGACATTGAAATGACGGTTATAAAAAAGAATAAAGACAACAGAAATACAAGGGAATCATTTGACTCTCAAGCGTTAGGTGATTATTATTGCTGTTCTTTTTTCACTTCAAAAATGAATTTCACTAGTCTATTTGTTTTCTCAAGTCTAGCAACTCCTGATTGAGTTGATTCCTTCAACTGCCCTTTTCGCAACATCTTCAATCAATACTTTTTTCTGACGCAAAAGTAGCGAGTCACCGTCTGATATTAACGCTTTGTCATTGAAATACAAACAAATCATCTCCCATCTTACTGAATTGTGAAGAAAACTGTACCAAAGATGCATCGAATACTTGTTATTGAGGTTTCAGCAGTTAAAAGGAAGATAGTGTGACTAAATTAAAAAAAGAGAATAGAAGACCAAGGAAAAAGGGAAAGTAAAGGAAAATAAAATGAATACGGAAGAAAAACTGCAAAGGCAGACTAAATAAACTCAGTAAGTCAGAAACTTACATAGTTTTGTTAATTCATTACATAACATTGCCAGAGTCACAGCGATGCTTACTTTTTAAGTATATAAAACTAATCCAGCTGTGACAAATGTACGATCACCAACATTCCTTATCATAGCATAGAACCGAAGGAGAACAGAATCTGATAACCCAAATCCTGACATATCTGACCATGCACGTTAAGAATCTTGATTTTTTCAAGAGAGAAGAGAAGACAAGTATTAATTATTTCCATTATCTCAACAGTCCCAAAATTAGCAGTAAAACCGAGTCATTCCTCATGAAACACAATGATCAACTTTATACACAAGACCTCTGATAAAAATAATTCACTCAAAAGCTGATACATAATGCGTTCTTGCACTTATCAACCGGCACAGGACAATGAATTCCAGAAATCCAACAAGTTTCTATCAGAGGCAGATATCCGTAAAAATTAGAAACATAGAGAAACCTTTTGAACCTCAAGAAAGCTTTGTCACTTTCTTTTTTCACTCGAGAACTGGATTCAAGCGAACTATTTTCATTCAACTATTCCTCTGAAAGAGACCATTCCACCACTGTTCATTACAGATTAGTCTCCTCTTTTGATTCTTTATAAAGAAAACCATGCCACAGATAAACCGAAAGACCCAGATACATCAGGAGATCAGGAAAAAGTGAGGGAAGAAACCGAAGCAAGAAAACCAAAATAGTATTCAGAAAATAATGATATCTCCAACACTCTTTTACAAGATTGATCTCAGTAAAGCTCTGACACAAAGTGGATTCCATATTTACTCGATAAACTTGACAAACGAAAACTTTAAGGAGTCTGTTAGGCGTTCTTAAACAAAACTAGATAGATGCTTCTCTCAGTGAATCCATACAAATAACACAATCATGTACCATCACCAATGTTCTTATGATAGTAGTATTAAACAAGAACACTTGATTTCACAGCAGAATCTAATAATCTGATCGTTTATAGATTTCCACTGTTCCATCATCACTCAATTTATGTAATATGTCCTTCCAGGAACTAAAACGCAACTGAGTCATGGATCATGAACAGGAAATCATAAATCACCCAATAAACACAATTCCATCAAGCAATGAGCTACTGCAAAGTCCAAGAATAGCCCATGAACTATTAACTGAAAAGAACGGAACATGTAGCTGGTTTGTTGAAGATAATAATGAGAAATACATACCAGGATAGCAGAACCACCAGAGAATGAAGAGGCAAAGAAGGACCATGATAGGAATGATGTGAATGCAATTGTCTGAAAGAGTCCTTCTGCGATGATGACGCTGAAGATGGGAAGATCATCATTCCATATATAGCAAATTGGGTCTCTGCATTTTGTGTGAAGTTCAATTTACTGCTCCTTGGGGGAAATGTATGTGTCTCTTGAGAGATTTTCAAGGGTTGAAAATTATTGCGAAGCACGTGTCAAGGCAAATACTAGTTTCATTTTAATTGACCTTTTCTGGCATTATTTGTTCATCTGAAGTTCCAAAGAAGTAGTAAAAGTTCTAAATTTAGCAAGAGACATAACTTTAAGATGACCAAGAAAATTTAACAATTTAACCTTTCGTCATTACTTTAAGTATCATTTTGTAAAGTAATGAACAATTAAGAACTTAGCTATATTTTTATAACTTTTGAATGAATTGAATACGGCTTTACAGAGAAAAAAAGTTTACGTTTCCAATTTTTTGCACTCCTGTTCAAGAGTGATGTCTTGAATAAAAGTGGAGTTCTAATAAGAAATCTTATGTTATTTGACAAGTAAATTATTTTCATCACATGTGCACGTAGTACCTAAACATATATAAAACTCCTTATTATACCATTGATATACAAGCTACCTTATATTACTTAGTAAATTAGGTATATATATATTTTTTTGGATAGTTGGGTTGGGTGATAAAGGGAGAGGAATTGAAAGTATGAGGATTTGGAAAAAAAAAAAAAAAGGTGTCATTTACATATCTTAACCAATGTTGCGGGGACACTCGTTAGAAAAATTCTTTTATAATTAAAAGAATTAAAAAAATAAAAATTATTTTGACACTGCATGATGCATTCTCGCTTTTTCTTTACTTAAGAATATAAATGTTTGCAATCATTACTACATGAGAGTTTAATTAAAAAAAACAAGAGTAGAGACTAAAATATAATTTTGAAAAGTATGGAAGAAGTCTAGGAACTAGAAGCAAATAAATTGTAATTAATGTTATTGGCAACTTGGCATGTGAGGAAGTTATGAAAGAAAGAATAGGTGGTCCCACAAAATTAATTTGACATATGAGGAAGTTATGAAAAAATAAATAGATTGTCCCACAAGATTTTCTCACATTTTTATAAATGTGTTTTCTATTTTTTAAGTTAAATGGATGTATATGGATAAGATGGATAATCCATTTAAATCCACCAACATAATTGGATTTAAATGGTTATCCATTTAAAACCATTGAATTTATATGGATAATCCAAATCCATTTAAGGTTGGTTTATATGGATGGATTGGTGGATATGAATCCATTTTGCCACTTCTATGTTAGGCATAGGATTTGAACTTTTAACCTGACGAGCTAAATATTTTTTTATGGTAATGAAAAAATATTTTTTTCTCTATTTAGTATACAAGCTAAATAAGTAGTGACAATTAGAGTTCTATCTATAGTAGCAAATAGCTTATGTTAGTTCAACTTTTAGTTATAAAGTATAAAGGAACGATGAAGATGGACATTTTGGGCAAGAAAAGCAGATTTCTATGTCCTTGAAAAATGTGCAATTTTACATTCATAGGATTTTTTATTTTTTATTTTACTTTTTGACATCCATACTAGGGGGAGAGCTTGGAATTTACTACAGGTACGGAGGTTTACACCTTTGATCTGCACCTTATGTTTCACCTAATTGTCAACTTATCCAAGGGGAATTAGTTTACATCCATAGTTCACCATGTTTATAGAATGATGAAAAGTACAGTTATTGGAACACAAAGTAAGCCATTTACTTGGGGGTAAACAAAATTCCCTAGTTTTCCTCTACACGTAGTTATTGCATAGTTATTATACTAGATCCGGTAAGGAACCCGGCAGAGGAACTGGGTCACGAGTTCAACCAGTGGATTACTGTTGAACCGGTGAATATTAATTTAATATTTATAAATAATAAAATAGTAATTTTAATATACATAAAATATTTAATAAAATGCTTTTAGATACTGATTATTATACTTAGAAAGATATATAATAAATATATAGATATTAATAGAAGATTTAATTTCATTTTATCATACTTTTAAATAAATAAATAATATAGTCAAGTATAAAACAAAATTTCTATCGCTTATTTTCAAAACTATAGCATTATTTTATTTTTTATTTAAAAATAATTTAATTTTCTATCTAATCAAATATTATCAGTTTAAAAGTTAAAAGGATTAATTGTATAATAAAAAATAAGTTTATTAAAAAATTAGTTATCAAATAAAAACTAAACAAATGGTAAAGTCTATATATATTTCAATGAAAATCCAATGTACAAATCTTATCAAAAGCAGATATACATTTTGTTTCAAAAACAAAGATCCATAATATAAAAAAAAAGGGTAAATCGGATCAATTGAAAAATCGAACAAATTTTCAATTGAACCAATGGATCAACCAAGTTTGTCTGGATTTTTACCGAATCAATTCTTGTCCAATCACACTAGAGACCCGATCCGGTCTAATGGCCGATTCAACCGTCGAGCCGATCCGAATTTAATAACTATGGTTTTTTGCACTTGGTTAATATCGATTTATTTATATGTCATGTAGATATCAACATATTTTTTTTAGGGGTATAAGCACAAACTTGCTAGAGAATCTTTTAGATGTATGTGAATAATATTTTGAGTTTTGACATTACTAAGGACCTTTGTATTTGTTGAGGATAATCACCGAAGGGCATTCTGATTTCTAAGATTATCCATGGGGATATTTTGCTTGCATCAGCAAAGTCAAGCGCCAACCATTTTTTGAGGGAAGTTTCTGCAATTTTCTTAAACCTGAAGGGTACCGCCTTCAATTTTCACAAGCCTTCAATTTTCACAACCCTCAGAGGAGGTCCTTAAAATTATCCGAGGAGGATTTAATGAAATTCCAGGGCCGAAAACTAAACCACAGACTAGGTGATGACGCAAGTGGGCACTCTGCAGACTCAGGAACATATTTTCTATGCCAATCCAATGTCATCAATAATATTGCGCCAAGTGTCTTGTTATTATTTACACTTGTATTAAACCAAATCAAATTGAATTATTAGAAAATTAAAGTGTAAATAAAAACAAGACACTTGGCGCAATATTATTGGTGGCATAGAAAACATGTCACCGAGAATCCCAAGTGAGGCTTCCAGAGGGCTTCCCTTCTTGGGAAAAGTTCAAGTACGAGCATCATTCTTCCAACAACTTATGCTTCGAATGAAAAAACAAAATGAGCATCATTTCTTCCCACTAAATAAAACAATTTGTCCTCTTATTTCACTATACTTTTCTCTTTTTTGAATTCGAATTGAAGGTTCTTCTTACACATGAGCCCGACTAAAGATTTACCCTGGACGCAGAGCCAAATTTGAGGTAAAGATGGCTGATGCTAGAAGGGGGATTTCTGTTTTTACCAGAAGTACAATGCAGAGAAGCACCCGTTATCATGTGGAAAAGAAATCAGAAAACACATGAAGAGGTACTTGGGCCAAAAAGTAGCACGGATATCAGTCATTAAGCCTGGTTTGCTCATCATCATCATCATCATCATCGCCAGTAGTGGTTCCAGCAAGAGGTTTCTGTTCATCATCTTTTCTTGATTTATATGAAGATGAGCTCTTTCGGGAATTATGGACCGGAAGGCGACTGGGATCATATGTTTGGGATGCAAGGTAATTCAAAGCTATAACAATATCAGCTATCACGGGTCGCATGCTAGCTTGCTCCTGGACGCACATTGCAGCAATTGCAAGAGCTTGATACAAGCCCCTTACGGGATATTGACCTTCCAGCGATGGATCAGCCATCTGAGAGAATTTTCTCCTGTCTCTGAACAAGGGCCGTGCCTGCAATTAGCAAAGAGAATTGCAGGGGTATTATCTATGAATGCCCTACAGAAAAAATAAGAGAGAGACATATCTGTGTCTCTATGTGCGTGCTCATGTATCAGTGCATGCCTGAGCCTGCATGCATGTACAAGTGTGCGTCTGTCCGCATATATAGCAAGAAAATAATCTACCAGAATGAAGCATGCCCATTTTAGGCTAAGGTGCAGGGCAAAAGTGCATCATTTCGACTATCACTAACCTGTTGCACATAGGCAAAAAGAAGGCAAAGCACATAATTAAACATTCAAACAAAGATATTGATTCAAAAACTTCAAAACTGAAGCAGCCAAAACAGTGTATGGGCTATAGGATCCACCAGTAAGTCACCCATTGATGGAAGAGTTCAGATTTTCAAAAACATTCCTTTTCAGATTCGTGGAAATTCATAACATCATTTATATATTTGTTGTAAGCTTATCTAGCAAGCATTGGAGCCCAGATAAGGTACCCATGGAATAGTTTAGCAGACTAACATGAATCAGGAATACATGAATTTATTTTCACAGCTTCAGTCCGACTCCACTAACTTCAAATCAGGACGTTAGTGCCTCTTTTAACACATCTCATGTAGCTTCTATGTTCAAGAGCGCACATATAAATTATCTGCTAATTCTAAGTCATTTGTGGACAGTGTAATGGGTGTGATTGCATCAAACTGACTTCCAGTCACTTAATCTATGGAGACAAAAGAAAGTGATTACTGGTCACAGATATATCACTCCATCCTAAAGAAAATCAAAAAGGAAAAGAAAGAAGCATAATCATAAGTTGATGCTAACAACAGAAGTACATGGGGAAAGAGACATTGGATGCTTTATATGTGGTCCCCATTCTCCAATCTACCTCGGTTACTTAAGCAAAAAGCAACTTTGGTGGTCTAAATGGCAAAAGAATCACAATCCAATTGACAGAAGATCAACTATAGATGACAATTCTTGACAGTCCTCCAAAAAGTTGAAATAAAAAATAAAAGGTGATCCAAAGGAACAAAAAGCAAGGATCCCAATTCAGCAGCTCCATTAAAGGTGCTTCACACTTTAATGGAAGAAAATCTAACGGGCACTTTGCTTAGAGTTCCCTCCGCCACTAGGACATAAACAGTCTCATTTCCATTTCAACCAAGGCAAATACTAGCAGGCAAGAGAGAGGTAGAGCTAAGTTACCCATGCAACCAAATTTTGCTCTGCAGCAGGTCTAGAATCGTCAATTGCTTTCCTGCCAGTGATGATCTCCAGAAGAACAACACCAAAGCTATAAATATCAGATTTGAATGTAAGTTGACCGGTCATTGCATAATCCGGAGCACAATATCCGTATGTACCCATCACCCTGGTGGAAACATGACTTTTATCTCCCGAAGGGCCAACTTTGGCCAAACCGAAATCAGATAACTTTGGATGATAACCCTCCCCAAGAAGAATGTTAGAACACTTTAAATCTCGGTAGATGACAGGAGGCTTCATCTTGTCATGCAAATACTCTAAGCCTCGAGCTGCACCAGCTGCTATATTCATTCTTGTGTTCCAATCAAGCTTTTTTTTATTGGATAGACGACCTACAAGAGTAACATAAATAACTTGACACTCATTGAGGATAAAGTGGCACATTAGCAAGATGGGACAGTTTCAAAAAAGGGAGCGAATATAAGACATGCAGGCAAAAAGAATCAATCAAGAATATATGTAGCAAAACAACTCTAACCAAAATAACAATAATAAGTTCTCCAACATTGCACTTACCATGTAAATGGTCATCCAGAGAACCCAGGGGCATGTACTCATAGACCAACAGCCTCTGAACTCCCTCGGCACAACAACCAATTAACTTGACAAGATTAGGATGATCAGCCAAACTTAAGAATAATGCTTCAACCGTAAACTCCCTGATCCCTTGACATCCATTAGGATCAAGCTGCTTAATAGCTACAATCTACAGGGACAAGAAAAACTAACTTTAGATCTTTTGCAACATCACACATAGTACTAAGCATCTAGGTAACTAACGAATTTCTGAAGACAGTTTTGAGTAGTGGCGAATTTGTCAAATTGCAACCTTTAAAAGAAAACAATAACAAAACTGACCTGACCGGTATCTACCAGACAACCTTTGTAAACTTTGCCAAAGCCTCCCTCCCCCAGAAAATTTTCTGACCTGAAATTTTCTGTAGCAGCTTCCAGTTCGGTATATTGAAAGGCCCTAGAGTTTGATCGATTACCATCTTCATCACAAAAAGACCTCTTACTAGCCACCTCGTCTGGTGCTGCAGATGGATTTATATCTATCTTGTTCTCCTTCTTCCCACCTTTATTTGGGCTCACTTCCCGTTTATTAGCACAAAAACACAAGAAGCACCTAAAAACATAAGTATGATAGAGGCCCACGGGGGAAGAAGGCAAAAAGACATAAAGAGAACATGGGCAAGATGATGCCAAAATATGGATTTCATATGATCCTCAGCTAAGTAGTACCAAGGGATAACCATAATAATTACTAAAACCTAAAAGCAAACAAAGAACCCCAGAAAAGACAAAATCACATAACACTAATAATTAAACAGTAACATCATGAATAACAATAAATATTAGGAAAAAAATCAAGTCGTCCCAAAGACGGTGTACAGCAAACAAGAACCAGCATTCACTATTTCAGACCATCAGGAAAAAAGGGTCAAAGATCCAACCAAACTATGTCACCACAATTGATGATGGACTCGGACACTTTCATCAACAAAGCATCCTGAGCTGAAATTAAATGTAATAATAGTCAACTACATCGAAAGCACACCGACACACATCAAGATTCAAAATTTCCGGCATCCGTCCTAGCACCATGAACCATAACTTACAAAAACCAACGCAGAGAAAGACAACCAGATAATTTCTGACAGACCATCTCCTACAAACTGGAAAACTTTAAGGGAAAATCCTATAAAAGAATTAATTATGCAAATTAGAAAAGGCACCTCGAATCATAGCAAAAGTCCCACTAAAAAGCAGACAAAAGAACCATGCAAATAAAACATCAGGAAGAAGATGGTCAGGCTTCATTCATGAAAAGGAACCAGCAAATTTTGTACCCATTTTCAATTTTCAAGCAAAAGTCATGGAAAAATAACCTTTTTAAGTTTTTCTTGCAAAAAATCAATCAAACAACATACAAAGCTCAAACCTGTTGTGGGTATTCTTTGATCATCTTTTGTATAGTGATTGGTATTGATATGACTATAATTCTTCCTTTTTTTCTCCGGCTTCTTGATTGATGATGAATCTCCTGAACATGGAAAACATCCCATGCTTTTTCCCTCTCCTATCTTTCTATCTATCTATCTCTCTCTTATATTTATATCTATATGTACTGTGTTGTCTGTGCGAAAATGTATATACTCTTGAAAATTATTTCTCCTTTTTACACCCTTCTTCCTGCCTAAAAAGATGTATATGAAACAGAAGGCCCAGACACAGAAGAGAGGAATTTACAAAGCTGGTACAAGGTTCTGTAGAGAAAGACGCATAGAGACACAGACAGCCAACACGGAGTGCTCAGCCTTCAGACACTTCCTTTTGCTCTTCTTACTTTCGTTATTTTGTTTCAGTTTTCTGATTTTTTTTTTCTCGAATTTAACGACCTCGAGATGTTATCGCCTGTGACACACGCTTCGGAGGTATTCCAATAAAACTGCCATGTCATTCTCCCGGATTTAGGTGTGCAACCGACTCTTAGCTTGTCAGAGGTTAGGTGGTTTATAAACAAGTACTGCTAATATAATATTTTCGACATAAGTATTTTTAATTTATCAAAAATTAGAGTATTTAATTTATAAAAAAATTAGTTACTAAACATCATAAAAGTATTTTTTATATTTAAAAGCTTCATTTTTTGGTAAATGCACCGTAACTTCAAACTGGGTTTAAATAAGTTGAATAAGTTCAAACTTATTTTATTATTTTTTTAATTTGAAATTTTATTTAATTTTGACTTGTTTATTTTTTGACTTGAACTCGAACTGGAGTTGAACTTGAATAACTTGAACTTTTAAGATGTAAATTTTGCTTATATGCTAATCGAGCCAATCTTGAATTAAATTTGAGAGTTTATCAAATATAAATTGCTGTTTAAAGTTGGTTTGATTAGTTAATAAACTAAATTCGAATGAGTTCTCATCGACCTGAATTCAATTCGAATATTAAGTAGTTTAATTCATTTTTCAAATCAACTCTGATTCTGCTAGTTAGGAAAAATTGCTACAAACTCCTCGTGTTTATAACAAATCTTTTAGCTTTTTGCTAACTCAATTCATTTTATTTCCTGAATAGCTTGAAACTTATGTCCAAGTTTTAATTTAATTATATAATAAACAAGTTTTATTCTTTTAGAATTTAGTTTGCCTCAAGCTTGAAAAAATAATGAACACCAAATTTTATTTTACCTAATTTAAAATTTATTAATGACTAATTTCAAATGAACACTTATCAAACATAAATCGATGTGCATATCTAGTCATTTTATTCATGTTTATGGCTCCAAAATTTTACTTGTTTTCCTTGTATAGCATTCCATTTTTGCTTCACGTGAATTTAATCTTCAAGAAAGAAAAAAAAAGCATTGTGCTATTTCATCAAACTAAATCAGATAATAATGCGTGTCTTTTTTCTATTATTTTTACCTCATCAAACTGAGCCAATGAAACACAATCTTAACCATTAATCCAAATCATGCATGCATCCAATAATTTAATTTTATTATTTGGAGTCGACGTATTGTATTGTTTAAGGATTCTTGTACCATATTGTTTTAACGCATTAATGTTCCAATGGCATTTGTTGATTCATATAATTTGCCATTTAAAAGTATAATCATATTTAGCCTCAATTTGACGGAGAAATGATGGATTTGTATGGCATAACGGAAAGGAATATGAGTGAAAGATCTTGGATTTAAGGCCGGCTACTTGTACTATTAAAAAAAATCTCAAATTGATGAGATAGGTATATTTTCAAATACTTCACCAAGTAAATTTCTCGGTTTAAATGTGTGAGACCAGATTAGTATTGGGAAAGCGAGAGGGACCTTTTCAGCAATTCCCCGGCAAAGTCCATTCGCACCACAAGAAAAAGTGGAGCATTCTCATTGGAAGCTTTCCGTAGCTCAAAAAAGTTCACATGCAGCAGATCTTACTTTCCGATTATTAATCACAGTTTAACTTTTGTCACTGGCAGGGGAAAAGTCAAAGTTAACTGCTAACAACAGAGGGCCGATTTATGACCGTCGATCCAAGGTTCCGTGAAGCGGCAATCAGCGGTGCTGTGATTTGAGGTGGAATCAACAGTGCCATACACGTTTTCAGGTGGAGAGAAAATCAACGGATCGCATTTAAATCGCTTTGAATTGATTGCATATTTGACACAGGCTTTAAGGAAATGGTTTGACTTTCAACAGGAAATTCATTAAATTTTTGACATTCGTATTTTGAGAGCTTTAAATAAATGCATTGATTCTTTTTTTGCCCCTTAAATATAATTACTTCATTGCTAATTAAGGCTTTAAAAAGTGTGTAGAAACAAAAATATACTTTTGGTCAGAGAATTTTCAGAGCATCCGTTGGAATATTCACTTATTGAGAATATTTTGAGTTTATTTTCAAGAAAATTATGGAGGGGCAAATCTACATCTTTTTTAATCTTCCATCCCCTTTCCATCCCCAATTACAGAATTTGAATCCAGAACTTAATACTGAAAAAAACTCCAAGAAACTGTTTGGTACGAAGGAAATGGAAGGAAAGGAAATGAGAGATCTCTAGTGGAAAAACATTGAAAGGAGAGTAGAAAAAATATGAATCCATTCATTTTTATTTTGGATTATAGAAGGAAAGGAATGGAAACTATTATACATTAATTACATTTTTATTATCCCTTCATTTCCGCCCATCTTCGAACGGAAAAGTATGTTGATAAAAAATAATTGAATATTATCCCTCAATTTTCTTTCCGATCCTTTTCGTTTCTCGTCTCGAAAACCAATTTAAACATAAAAAATCTTATCCCTTCATTTTCTTCTCTTTCATTTCCTTCCATTCCCTCAAAACAATCAGTAGTGTCTAAGAGCCCTCTTCTATCACGCACTAGGGTTAAAAATACAGGATTCACTTTTAAAAAGGTGACTTTAAAAGACTGGTATACTTAGGCAAATAGGGACAAATATGAAAACTCCTAAAAATTAGGAGGCAGACAATCTTTGAGTTTACGTTCCCGTTCCCGTGACCTTCTTGTTCGGAGCACTGGACGACTTGGATGGACAGATAGAACAAAAGCTCGTCATGTAAACCATTCGTCATTTAAGGCAGTATTTTCTTTTTTCTACCAAGTAAATTCTTAGGCGTTATTAAAATAAAAAAAAAAGAAGAAGAAGTTTTCCAACACTGCCGAGTAGTAGTAGCCAAAAAATGCAAAATCAATACTCACAAAGGGTAAAATCGATAATTTCTAATATGAGTGTCGCTTACGTTCTGTTCAATGAATCAAATGCTTCTTTTTTGTGTTCCCGAGAAAATTTTGCCATTTTGCACAAAAGGATTTTAGGTGATTAGTGTGAATGGCGTATTTTGGACATTTTATCGATCGGATTTTATGTCGGGGACGTGAAAATGTTGGTGCCTATTCACTTCATTGGGAAGATTTGCCATTACCTAGTAAAGTAGTAGTAATTCATAGTAGCAAGGAAGGTGGGAACGTAAAGCAAGCACATAACTCAGTGCGTTAGAGTAGCACGAAGTTGTTAATGTCGCCTATATATATATATATATATATTCCCTCCCTTTTTTTATAACTGACGTTTAAGATTTTACACACCAATTAAGAAAAGTTTTTCATTGTTTAAATCTATACACTACTTTTCTTTTGTACCCTCATTAATTATCCAATTCACCCATGTTTTCTCTCACTAGAGTATTAAATGGTGCTGTTTTACTAGGCCTAAAGCAATGCAAACTAACTCTCACCAATTATAAAAAGAGAGATAAAAGGGTAAAATTGTGAAAAAATAATTAATGCTGCATGGGGATAATAAAACGACATATAAAAGTACTTAAGAGCAAATTTCTTAAACGTCAGTTATAAAAAAAGGGAGGGAGTATATAGCAGTATCCAGTACTTGGCAAACAATTATTGGCACATCAATCTGAAATAAGAACCCCTTTTTTTTTTTTTGTGATGAAACACGGTGTAGAAAAGAATGAGATTTTGGGTTAAGAAAGGCACCCCAGGTCCTAAAGGGCCTAAACTATTTAATTTGCCAATAGGTTTGTGCTTTTATTTTGTTTCCCATCGGATTGGCTTTTATTTTGTTTTTTTAATCTAACTTGTCAAAATTAAGTTGGACACCAACCAAGCATTTAAAATTCCTCTATAGGCTTCAGGTAAAAAAAAAAATTCTATTTCGGCGCCTATGGCTTACAAAACTCAAAAAAGTGTGGTGCTTGCTCCACAGCTTAATAAGTTTCGTTTTATTTTAATTTTACCTTACGTAATCGGATTGGGTCCGCGATTCCCCTCTGAAATAGGAGGATATTTACAGACATAGTTAAAAAAACTCGTGAATGTACATACTCTAAAAAAATTCGGAATGCGTGTCATCGCACGAATTTCAGCACTCACTTGTTCTGCTTCTACGTATTGATCATTTTGAACAAATAGAAAACTTTTTGGTGGAATATTCACATTATATAGAATATTATCACCATACCTCTCTCTGGTGATCTAGAGACGAACCTTTTCCTTCAAACCTTTGGCGGGTTTTAATAGTAGCTTATTTGGAATAATTTTTTTAAAAAAAAAATACAATAACATTTTTTTGATATAACGTATGTATAATAAATAAAAAATAAATAAAAAATACATTAATAATGTAAGTAAATAAATATTACTCCCAGTAAATAATGTACCATCCGAACACCAGTCGATGCATCACTGCACCTTTCCGTCCAACCCTTTTATGGATAGATGTTTTCTTCGTTTGTACAGCCTGATTGGCATTCACAACACAAATAAGCAGCCCACAGCATCTCGCGCGAGGGGGCAAATCACATCCTTCGCACGACATGCCCCGGTGAAAAGACAAAAAATGGTTCAAACTTTCCGTTTTTACTTTCGGCCCGGTCTATTCACCAAACAGTAGTTTTGTCCGAATGATCAAACTAAAACCCCCTCATGATTGGAATTGTTAACTATAGAAACTCGCCAAATGTACTTCGCTGTTGAATTTAAGCAACTGCCCCAAAAAATGCGCCACATCTCGGATTTCCAATTATTCTGTCTGCCCTTAGAAGTTTGCTCCAATCTTTCGGCACCCAGAGAAAGAGATAAAATTAAAAATATATTGATGCAGTTCCTTTCGAGCGGAGACACCCGTAAGAACAAGACCATACCGCCGGTCATCGTTGATTAAAGACTGACCCAACCGTTTCTGATCTGATCTTCTCGACTGCATACGGCCGTCGTCTGCATCAAACTGATTAATCGCAGGGATCGAGACAAGTGATGGGTTAATGAACTACTAATTTGGTGCCAAATAAGAGTGC